AAAAAGTGCCTGTAGAATATATTAACCCCATTTGTCTAATTTCAAAAATAAACGAAATATGAGCATTTTTTGAAATCGCTAAAATTTGACTTTTCGGCTATAACTTAAAAACAAAAGAAGATTGAGGTTTGGTCTTTGCGCGATTAGATTAGTCTCGGAAAAAGAGACCGAGACATGGCACCTACTTTTTTCGTATCTCTTATAGTTTCTGTGATAGCCTATAATAACACCCAAATTTGCCCACCTGTACAGAATGGGCCAAATTGGGCACTTTTAAAGCGAAATTTCTATTTCTATAAGAGTTACAGGAAAAATGATATCAGTGTCTGAGGCTCGATTTTTATAAGAATCTTAATGGCGAAAACCGCATTTCGATATCTCTTACCGTTTCAGAGATACAAAGTGTTTTTCAAAAACCCCTGTTCAATAGAAAATGTTCCAAATATCCCCAAAATGGTTTGTATTATACAGAGTCGACATCTTTTTTTAGCCCTTTTTGCCGAGTTGATTAAGCCCAATGGGCCTAAGCATTGCAAAAGTCTTCACAACTGCGGCTTCTAATTGCTGTCGGGAATTTATTGGCTGTTTATAGATAACATCTTTCAATCTTCCCCAAAGGAAAAAATCTATAGGTATTAGGTCAGGTGACCAAGCCGCCCAGCGAATAGAACCTTGATTACCTAACCTACAATCACCAAAAGTTGCGGTTAAAAACTTGGTGATAATAGCGGCCTTGTGAGGCGGTGCACCATCATGTTGAAAAAATACAAATACATTTCGCAGGTGCGCTAGGAGTAAATCGTCAACAACTGGTTCGATCTGTTGCTCAAATATTTTATTTGTGCTGTGCACCAACACCACTCACATACGCTTCATCTGTCCAAATTCAATTTAAAGAAAAATTCATGCAAACATTCATGCGCCAATCAAAATCTCCTGGTCTGAGGTAATGGACTTTGCTAGTTTTGTATGGCTTAAATCAGAATTTTTTCAAAATCAGCCTAGCTTTGGATTTTTATCGTTGATATCTGTGGATTATTTTCCATTGCCCCTAAAACTACTACTACTACTTCTAATTCCCCGTCTTCATTCGGTATATAAGTTTTTGATCTTTTCTTTTCGAATTGGCCGCTAGTTTGTAGATTATATCACAATCTTCTAAAAATATCATTGAAAGGTTGCCGCCTCTCTGGATATAAATGATATAATCATATAAATGGTTCATAATATAAATTTCCTGCAGTCTCCCCAGATTGTATAAAACATACTATTATGTGCCATTTTTCATAATTTTTATATGACATTATTTTGAAAATTGATGACAAGTACGTAATATTCTAACGATAAGCACTAACACTTACAACTTGAATCAAAATTTGACAGATAGATACTCATAAACACTGCATTTGTTTTATCTAAACGCCGTCAAAGCCCACTACTTAACCTACTAGTACGCAATTGAAAATCTTAAAAGTTCCCAAGTTAAATATTTCAAAGAAGGTTTGAACGAGATATTTTTGGAAAGGATATTTTATGCTCTCGTCGAATTTGCAAAAATATGGTGTTCCATTTAAAAAAATCATTTTTATGTCAATAACTACTAAAATATTGCTTTGAGAATATTTGAGATATTGCTTGAAAAAGTTGCTTTGGAAATGTTTTCACAAAAAGGAAAATTTATCAATAAAAAAAAAAAATGACTTTACGAAAATGCACTTTTTTGAAAAACACCCTGTATCTCTGAAACAGAAAGAGATATCGATATGCGGTTTTCGCCATTAAGTTTCTTATAATAATAATAATAATAATAAACAAGTTTATTGTTCACAAAAATCGATATAGGTACGATATTATTGAAAATACAAAAAATTTACATATCTAAATTTATGAACAAAAAGGTGATGTTCGATAGTCTCCTATCGTTCTTCCGCAATCACCCCATTAAAAATAATAAACATAAACATAGACAAGACAGAAAAGAACATGAAAAGAGAAAAAAAAAGGAAAGAGATAAGAAAACACGAACAAGAGAGAATTTATGCGCAAATACGGCAGAGCTGAGGTATTAACATCATCGGTAACCCTGAAAGGTGCATTGAGCCGAAAACAAGGCTGCCCTATATCGACGTTTAAGTAATGCAACGGACGTGCACAGTCCTACAGATCCAGAAATCTCGTTAACCAGTTTTGAAATTTGGTAAGAATAGCATTTTTTAAAAAATTGACGTTTGTGAATGGGTGGTGTGAGAGTTCCCTTAAACCTAATATTGAGGGTGTGCACGTCCGTCCTGTACCGTATCTTCCGGCGAAGGCCTGTCGTTATAATATTGAAATAAGCTGTTGCGCAATGTAATTTTCTGCGGTTGATCATATTTAACCAGCTTATTTCAATCAACTTGTGACTAATGTGCTCTCATCGCCTTATACCAAAAATTAGTCGCAGACATGAATTTTGTACTTTTAGTATTTTTTGAGCTATACGTTTAGATAGAAAAGAGGAGTACAACATGTCCCCATAGTTAAAACCCGATAACACCAGGCTCTCACAAGGTAACCGTTTACTGCTACCGGTTAGGAAATGACGCGCGTTATAAATGGATTTTAATTGACAGTATGCCGAACGGATCTTTTTATTAATATACTCATTGAAAGTTAGATTCTCATCAATAATTATTCCCAAACTTTTAACTGAATCTTTGCACGTTAATTGTTGGTTTCCTATGCGTATGTCAAGTTTGGGTTTAATTCTTTCCCTAAGTTTTTTCGGGCCAAAAACAATAATATCGGTTTTTGCTGAGTTAATTAATAAATTATGACGACGAACACATCCACTAGATTATCTAGGTCAGCACTTATCCGCCTGCAGGCCTCCTCCACCTCACCCTCGCCAAAAGACCCATAAAGCTGAGTGTCATCGGCATATTGGTGCATATTGCAAAAAGATACATGCTTGTGAAAATCGCTAGTGTATATTGAGAAAAGGACCGATCCCTGTGGGACCGTCATTGCCTCCGACACCAGACCATCCACACTCACACGTTGCACCCTATTATCCAAAAAACTCCCCAATAAATTAACTGCCTTGCACTTTAACCCTATATGGTGCAGTTTGGACAGCAAGATTTTATGGTTCAAAGTGTCGAAGGCCTTCGAGTAATCAAGCAGACAAAGAACGGTAATTTTATCGCTATCCATCGCTCCCACAATGTCATCCACAACGTCAACAAGCGCGGTTGCGCAACTGAACCCAGGGCGAAAGCCAGATTGTCGGTCCGGCAGAATGCTGTTGTTTACAATATATTTGCTAAGTTGTTCAAATAAAATCTTCTCCATGACCTTTGAGAGAACCGGCAATATGCTTATTGGTCTTAAGTCAGACAGCCTTTGAGGATTATTAATTTTAGGGAGAGGGTTTAGCAACGATATGTTCCACGAAGCCGGGAAGGAACTAGTCTCTATGACATGATTTACAATATGCCTACTAGAACACTACATAGGGTGTTATTGAAAAAATTTATTTTGTGGTGGGGTTTTAAATTTTAGATTGCAGTATATTATATCAGGATCTGACATACTCCCCCCGTCTGCGACACCCACCTCACTGACCATGCTGCGGTCAGATACCAGTATCAGATCAATCAAAGTAGACGATGATTGGGTTACTCGTGTTGGTCCCTCAATGACTTGATACAAGCCCGTAGAATCAAGTAAATCTTGTAGCGCTAGGGACTTACGGGTGGTCACGGTCAACATGTCGATATTAAAATCCCCAAGAATCACCACCCTGTCCACCGTAGGCAATATAATCGAAAGCGCGTCCTCTAATTCATTGAGGAACAAATTATAATTGACTAACGGGGGTCTGTACACAACCGCCAAGGCAAGACTCAATCCGTCCAGTCGGATCTTGACCCACAGCTGCTCTATTGCATCACTCACATCGACTGTGGTAACTGTTATTCCTTCCCTTATATACAACGCAATGCCCCCCGCTCTAGTCACTCTATCTTTCCGAAGCACCTTATATCCGTTCATAGATATTGCATTATTATCGATTCCAGCAGACAGCCAAGTCTCGCTCAATGCAAACACATGATAGCCACCGTCAGCCAACACACCTTCAAAATCATTAAAAGATTTAAGCAAAGATCTAATATTTAGATGACCGATGCTAAACATCTGCACAGTCCGCAACAATTACGCAGAAACTCCTGCAACAAAGAGAAACGAAGAAAGAAAAAAGAGAAAAACATCAAGCGCCGAGCGCCCCCCAACAGATGCTCCCCACACGCGCTTAAGAAGTAGAATGGAAGCAGCCATGGAAATTGGTGACGACTTCCAGGCCTTATATATGACGCACTCGTCTTCTAACTCGGGGCACCTCCTTGGGTTGTGGTTGGTGCTTTTCCTTCGCCTCCAATAGTTCTTCTTGATGGATAACAGTTAGCTTTGTTCCATTTGGAAGAAGAATCCTGATGCGTAAATCCTCGGTCCAGCAGTTTTCGGCTCCGAAATAATTCCATTGCATTCTTATAAAAATCTAACTTCAGGCACTGACATCATTTTTCCTCTATCTCTTATAAAAAGAGGAATTTTCCTTTAAAAGTGTGCAATTTGGCCACCCTGAACATCGTTAGCATATCATAGTAATTGTTGATCATATCGATTTTTTTTTATAAACAATATTTGTTAAAAATTTGATTAGAAACAACTTTTATTAACGGAATTATGTGATAAAACAAAATTTGAATTTCCCACTGAATAGTACACTTTTATATCGTTGTCATATCATAATAATTATTGATCCTATCGAATTTTTTTATAAACAATATTTGTTCCAAATTAGATCACAAACAACTTTTATTAATAGCATTTTGTGAGAAAACAAAATTTTAATTTCCCTGTGAATAGTATAGCACAAACCATCGTCATTTCCAGCAAATAATTATTTGTATCAAAAGATATTTTATTTGTTATACATTTTTTTATAACTTTTGTAGGTTTATCTTCACCGAAGCCTTTAATTCCGCCGAAACCGACTCAACCACCCGATGAAACTCCCTACGTAACATCGCGAATTTATCAGCAACCCGATGACGAAAATCCAACGAACGCTCCAACGGGAACCATCGACATAAGGATAGTTACGACGTCTTCACCATCGATTTCACCCGATTCGCACGTTTCCCCGTTTAATTGCTTCGATGATGGAAAATACTACAGGGAAGGTGAAGTTTGGAGGAAAACTGTGTGCACAAATTGTTCTTGTATTAACGGAAACATTAATTGTACGACGAATCCTGAATGTTGGAGACCAACCACTTCTTCAACTTCAACAACATCAACAACGACATCAACAACAACATCAACAACAACAGAATCCCCCACAAATTTTGATTTGGGTATAAATAAAAGTTTTTAATTTCTATATTTATATATTTCTATATTTTGTTTAAAGATTTTAATGATCCTGTTCGTGGTGCGAGAGGTGAACCGGGTTATTCGGGTCCAATTGGACGCCAAGGAGAACCAGGAATGCCGGGTCAACCAGGAAATCCGGGGATTCCCGGTATTCCAGGACCTCCAGGTCCCCTCCCTGACTTAACAGCTTATTACCAACAATTAGCGCTATCACAATCATCTCAAGATAAAGGGCCATCTTCCGCAGCTGCGGAACTTTTTTTCCCACAGGCTCAAGTTGGGCCGGTTGGACCAAGGGGTCCTCCAGGTCCCCCAGGGTCTCTAGGTCCCCAAGGTTTGCAAGGAACGAGAGGAGAAATTGGCGAACCTGGAATGGGGGGAGCTGTGGGTCCTCCCGGTCAACGAGGATTTCCTGGTCCACCGGGAAAAGATGGGGAACCTGGTGAAGATGGGGAACAAGGCCCCGTGGGGAGTCAAGGCCCACCGGGTGCGAGGGGATTACCTGGAATGCCTGGGTTACCTGGAAATAAAGGTCATAGAGGATTTAGCGGGCAAGATGGGGCTAAAGGCGAACAAGGACAACAAGGTGAAAAAGGAATGATTGGGAATCCTGGACCGATGGGCCCCATTGGTCTCACGGGACCAGCTGGGCCACGCGGTGAAAGAGGAAGAGAAGGACCTCCAGGTCCACCCGGATTACGAGGAATTGATGGAATAGCTGGACCTCCCGGGCAATCCGGAGCCGTGGGAAAGCCAGGTTCACCCGGTTTTCCAGGAAACCCCGGAAGTAAAGGAGATCAAGGATCGCAAGGCCCGAAAGGGAGTCAAGGACTTCAAGGTCCACGAGGAGAAGCTGGGCGTCCTGGACAAGCGGGAGAAGCAGGCCCACCTGGTTTAAACGGCAAAGATGGCTTCCCCGGCGAAAAAGGCGGCCCCGGTTCTCCCGGAATTCCCGGCCCACCCGGATTCCCGGGAGCAAGAGGCCTCCCTGGTCAATTAGGAAGCCCAGGGCAACAAGGGATTAAAGGAGAACCCGGGTTACACGGAGAACGCGGTTACAAAGGAGAACCCGGTTTTAAAGGGGAAATCGGCGCCCCCGGACCAAGAGGAGTCCCAGGCCCAACCGGCCCTGAAGGCAAACGTGGAAAACGAGGGGGAAGAGGACCAACTGGCCCTCCAGGACTTCAAGGTGAAAAAGGACCCCTCGGGTTGAGAGGGTTACCCGGACCTGATGGAGCAATGGGGCCGAAGGGGCAAACGGGAGATAAAGGCCCTCAAGGAACACCGGGAACTAAAGGAAATCAAGGGGATATGGGAAGACCTGGACCACCTGGTATTCAAGGAGAGAGAGGGTTATCTGGAAGAAATGGAATGCCGGGGAAACCGGGGAGTCCAGGTGAAAGAGGAATTCAAGGTGCTGATGGGAAAGCTGGAGAACCTGGGCCGCAAGGAATCCAAGGAGTTCCTGGGCCTATAGGAGTACCTGGGGAAAAAGGACTTCAAGTAAGAAAAAAAATATTTTATACCTATATATTTAAATATTTAATAATATTTTAGGGCGAACAAGGAAAAGATGGAGAAGTTGGACAACCCGGAGCACAAGGTCCAAGAGGAGATCCCGGAAAAGATGGTTCCCCTGGAATACAAGGTCCACCGGGACCATCAGGGGCCGATGGAGAACGGTTAAATTTATTTGTTATTTTCCACCATTTATTTGTAAAAGTTTTATTTTAAAGAGGACCACCAGGATCTCCTGGCCCAACGGGATTCCAAGGGCTTCCAGGTGCACCAGGTAATCCAGGAGCGTCCGGGAAAGATGGGGAACAAGGAGTTCAAGGCCCACCGGGTCTTCCAGGATCGATTGGAGCAAGAGGCGAACGAGGATTTCCTGGGGAAAGAGGCCCTGTTGGTCAACCTGGCTTAACAGGGCTACGAGGGCCGATTGGATCGCAAGGGCAAGATGGGCCACCGGTAAAGTATTATTTTAAGCATCTACTTTTCAAAAATCAAGTCCGTTTTGAAAAATCACTTCTTGTTTTTGAGATATTAATTATTGAAATTTTTAAGAAATTACATATATTTTTTTAATTAACTTTAAAAATTCGTGAAAAGTCGATTTATCGGAAGATAATTTCGAAATCTTCACCGATTATTAATAAAAGCATCCCCTTTCCAACAATCGAATTCGTTTTGAAAAATCACGTTTCGATTTTGAGATATTAATTTTTGAAATTTCCAATATTTTTAACAAATTTAATTTTTTTGAGTTAACTTTAAAAATTCGTGAAAAATCGATCCCTTGGAAAATTGTTACGAAATTCTCACCGATTATTAATAAAAGCATCCTCTTTCCAACAATCGAATTTGTTTTGAAAAATCACGTTTCAATTTTGAGATATTAATCTTTGAAGTTTTTCAATATCTTCAACAAATTTTATATTTTTGAGTTAACTTTAAAAATTCGTGAAAAATCGATCCCTTGGAAAATTACTACGAAATTCTCACCGATTATAAATAAAAGCATACTCTTTCCAGCAATCGAATTCGTTTTGGAAAATCACGTTTTGTTTTTGAAATATTAATTTTTGAAATTGTCAATATTTTTAATAAATTTCATTATTTTGAGTTAACTTTAAAAATTCGTGGAAAATCGATCCCTTGGAAAATTATTACGAAATTCTCACCGATTATTAATAAAAGCATCCCCTTTCCAACAATCGAATTCGTTTTGGAAAATTAAATTTCGTTTTTGATATATTAATTCTTGAAACTTTCAATATTTTTAATAAATTTCATATTTTTGAGTTAACTTTAAAAATTCGTGAAAAATCGATCCCTTGGAAAATTGTTACGAAATTCTCACCGATTATTAATAAAAGCATCCTCTTTCCAACAATCGAATTTGTTTTGAAAAATCACGTTTCAATTTTGAGATATTAATCTTTGAAGTTTTTCAATATCTTCAACAAATTTTATATTTTTAAGTTAACTTTAAAAATTCTTGAAAAATCGATCCCTTGGAAAATTACTACGAAATTCTCATCGATTATTAATAAAAGCATACTCTTTCCAACAATCAAATCCGTTTTGAAAAATCACGTTTCGTTTTTGAGATATCAATTTTTAAAATTATCAATATTTTTAACAAATTTTATTTTGTTAAGTTAACTTTAAAAATTCATGGAAAATCGATCCGTTGGAAAATTATTACGAAATTCTCACCGATTATTAATAAAAGCATACTCTTTCCAACAATTAAATCCGTTTTGAAAAATCACGTTTCGTTTTTGAGATATTGATTTTTGAAATTTTTAATGTTTTTAACAAATTTAATTTTTTTGAATTAACTTTAAAAATTCGAGAAAAATCGATCCCTTGGAAAATTGTTACGAAATTCTCACCGATTATTAATAAAAGCATCCTCATTCCAACAATCGAATTCGTTTTGAAAAATCACGTTTCCATTTTGAGATATTAATCTTTGAAGTTTTTCAATATCTTCAACAAATTTCATACTTTTTAATCAACTTTAAAAATTCGTGAAAAATCGATCCTTTGGAAAATTATTACGAAATTGTCACCGATTATTAATAAAAGCATCGCTTTTACAACAATCGAATTCGTTTTGGAAAACCACGTTTCGTTTTCGAGATATTAATTTTTGAAATTTTCGATGTTTTTAACAAATTTAATTTTTTTGAGATAACTTTAAAAATTCGTGGAAAATCGATCCCCTGGAAAATTATTACGAAATTTTCATCGAATATCAATAAAACTATCCCCTTTCCAACAATCGAATTCGTTTTGAAAAACGATGTTTCGCTTTTGAGATATTAATTTTTGCAATTTTTAATATTTTTAACAAATTTAATTTGAGTTAACTTTAAAAATTCGTGGAAAATTGTTATGAAATTCTCACCAATTATTAATAAAAGCATCTCTTTTCCAACAATCGAATTCGTTTTGAAAAATCACGTTTCGTTTTTGAGATATCAATTTTTGAAATTATCAATATTTTTAACAAATTTGATTTTGTTGAGTTAACTTTAAAAATTCGTGGAAAATCGATCCGTTGGAAAATTATTACGAAATTCTCACCGATTATTAATAAAAGCATCCCCTTTCCAACAATCGAATTCGTTTTGAAAAATCACGTTTCGTTTTTGAGATATCAATTTTTGAAATTATCAATATTTTTAACAAATTTTATATTGTTGAGTTAACTTTAAAAATTCGTGGAAAATCGATTCGTTGGAAAATCATTACGAAATTCGCACCGATTATTAATAAAAGCATCCCCTTTCCAATAATCGAATTCATTTTGAAAAATCAAGTTTCGTTTTTGAGATATTAATTTTTGAAACTTTCAATGTTTTTAACAAATTTAAATTTTTTGAGTTAACTTTAAAAATTCGTGGAAGATCGATACTTTGGAAATTCATTACGAAATTCTCACCGATTATTAATAAAAGCATCGCCTTTCCAACAATTGAATTAGTTTTGGAAAAATATGTTTCGCTTTTGAGATATTAATTTATGAAATGTTCAATATTTTTAACAAATTTAATTTTTTTGAGTTAACTTTAAAAATTCGTGGAAAATCGATTCCATGGAAAATTATTACGAAATTCTCACCGATTATTAATAAAAGCATCCCCTTTCCAACAATCGAATTCGTTTTGAAAAATCATCTTTCGTTTTTCAGATATTAATTTTTAAAATGTTCAATATTTTTAATAAATTTAATTTTTTTGAGTTAACTTTAAAAATTCGTGAAAAATCGATTCCTTGGAAAATTATTACGAAATTCTCACCGATTATTAATAAAAGCACCCCCTTTCCAGCAATCGAATTCGTTTTGTAAATCACGTTTCGATTTTGAGATATTAATTTTTGAAACTTTCAATATTTTTAATAAATTTCATTTTTTTGAGTTAACTTTAAAAATTCGTGGAAAATCGATTCCTTGGAAAATTATTACGAAATTCTCACCGATTATTAATAAAAGCATCGTTTTTCCAACAATCGAATTCGTTTTGGAAAATCACTTTTCGTTTTTGAAATATTAATTTTTGAAATTTTTAATATTATTAATAAATTTAATTTTTTTGAGTTAACTTTAAAAATTCGTGGAAAATCGATTCCTTGGAAAGTTATTACGAAATTCTCACCGAATATTAACAAAAGCATTCTCTTTCCAACAATCGTATTTGTTTTAAAAAATCACGTTTTGTTTTTGAAATATTAATTTTTGAAATTGTCAATATTTTTAATAAATTTCATTTTTTTGAGTTAACTTTAAAAATTCGTGGAAAATCGATTCCTTGGAAAATTATTACGAAATTCTCACCGATTATTAATAAAAGCATCCCCTTTCCAACAATCGAATTTGTTTTGGAAAATCACGTTTCGATTTTGAGATATTAATTATTGAAATTTCCAATATTTTTAACAAATTTCATTTTCTTGAGTTAACTTTAAAAATTCGTGGAAAATCGATCCGTGGGAAAATTATTATGAAATTGTCATCGATTATTAATCAAAGCATTCCCTTTGCAACAATCGAATTTGTTTTGAAATATCACGATTTGATTATGATATATTAATTTTTGAAATTTTCAATGTTTTTAACAAATTTCATTTTCTTGAGTTAACTTTAAAAATTCGTGGAAAATCGATCCCTTGGAAAATTATTACGAAATTCTCACCGATTATTAATAAAAGCATACTCTTTCCAACAAACAAATCCGTTTTGAAAAACCACGTTTCGTTTTTGAAATATTAATTTTTGAAATTGTCAATATTTTTAATAAATTTCATTTTTTTGAGTTAACTTTAAAAATTAGTGGAAAATCGATTCCTTGGAAAATTATTACGAAATTCTCACCGATTATTAATAAAAGCATCCTCTTTCCAACAAACAAATCCGTTTTGGAAAATCACGTTTCGATTTTGAGATATTAATTATTGAAATTTCCAATATTTTTAACAAATTTCATTTTCTTGAGTTAACTTTAAAAATTCGTGGAAAATCGATCCGTGGGAAAATTATTATGAAATTGTCATCGATTATTAATCAAAGCATTCCCTTTGCAACAATCGAATTTGTTTTGAAATATCACGATTTGATTATGATATATTAATTTTTGAAATTTTCAATGTTTTTAACAAATTTCATTTTCTTGAGTTAACTTTAAAAATTCGTGGAAAATCGATCCCTTGGAAAATTATTACGAAATTCTCACCGATTATTAATAAAAGCATACTCTTTCCAACAAACAAATCCGTTTTGAAAAACCACGTTTCGTTTTTGAAATATTAATTTTTGAAATTGTCAATATTTTTAATAAATTTCATTTTTTTGAGTTAACTTTAAAAATTAGTGGAAAATCGATTCCTTGGAAAATTATTACGAAATTCTCACCGATTATTAATAAAAGCATCCTCTTTCCAACAGTCGAATTCGTTTTGAAAAAGCACCTTTCGTTTTTCAGATATTAATTTTTGAAATGTTCAATATTTTTAATAAATTTAATTTTTTTGAGTTAACTTTAAAAATTCGTGGAAAATCGATCCCTCGGAAAATTATTACGAAATTCTCACCGATTATTAATAAAAGCATCGCCTTTCCAGCAATCGAATTCGTTTTGAAAAATCACGTTTCGATTTTGAGACATTGATTTTTGAAATTTTCAATGTTTTTAACAAATTTTATATTGTTGAGTTAACTTTAAAAATTCGTGGAAAATCGATCCGTTGGAAAATTATTACGAAATTCTCACCGATTATTAATAAAAGCACCCCCTTTCCAGCAATCGAATTCGTTTTGAAAAATCACCTTTCGTTTTTCAGATATTAATTTTTGAAATGTTCAATATTTTTAACAAATTTAATTTTTTTGAATTAACTTTAAAAATTCGTGGAAAATCGATCCCTTGGAAATTTATTACGAAATTCTCACCGAATATTAACAAAAGCATTCTCTTTCCAACAATCGTATTTGTTTTAAAAAATCACGTTTTGTTTTTGAAATATTAATTTTTGAAATTGTCAATATTTTTAATAAATTTCATTATTTTGAGTTAACTTTAAAAATTCGTGGAAAATCGATTCCTTGGAAAATTATTACGAAATTCTCACCGAATATTAATAAAAGCATCCCCTTTCCAGCAATCGAATTCGCTTTGGAAAATCACGTTTCGTTTTTGAAATATTAATTTTTGAAATTGTCAATATTTTTAATAAACTTCATTATTTTGAGTTAACTTTAAAAATTCGTGGAAAATCGATTCCTTGGAAAATTATTACGAAATTCTCACCGATTATTAATAAAAGCATACTCTTTCCAACAAACAAATCCGTTTTGAAAAATCACNGGTTTAACGGGAAATCAAGGATCACCGGGGGCTCAAGGATTACCCGGCCCTCCAGGGTTACAAGGACCGATTGGGTTGAGTGGGGAGAGAGGTGCAAAAGGCGAAATGGGCCCTCAAGGTGTTGAAGGCCCTCAGGGGCAACGAGGAAAATCGGGACCTCCTGGTTTAGAGGGAGCTAAGGGTGTAGCGGGAGAAGAAGGTCCAAAAGGGGCGAAAGGACACCGGGGATTCAGGAAAATTATTACGAAATTCTCACCGAATATTAACAAAAGCATTCTCTTTCCAACAATCGTATTTGTTTTAAAAAATCACGTTTTGTTTTTGAAATATTAATTTTTGAAATTGTCAATATTTTTAATAAATTTCATTATTTTGAGTTAACTTTAAAAATTCGTGGAAAATCGATTCCTTGGAAAATTATTACGAAATTCTCACCGAATATTAATAAAAGCATCCCCTTTCCAGCAATCGAATTCGCTTTGGAAAATCACGTTTCGTTTTTGAAATATTAATTTTTGAAATTGTCAATATTTTTAATAAACTTCATTATTTTGAGTTAACTTTAAAAATTCGTGGAAAATCGATTCCTTGGAAAATTATTACGAAATTCTCACCGATTATTAATAAAAACATCCCCTTTCCGAAAATTGAATTCGTTTTGAAAAATCACGTTTCCGCTTTGAGATATTTATCTTTGAAGTTTTGCAATATTTTCAACAAATTTTATATTTTTGAGTTAACTTTAAAAATTCGTGAAAAATCGATCCTTTGGAAAATTATTACGAAATTCTCACCGAATATTAACAAAAGCATTCTCTTTCCAACAATCGTATTTGTTTTAAAAAATCACGTTTTGTTTTTGAAATATTAATTTTTGAAATTTCAATATTTTTAACAAATTTCATATTTTTGAGTTAACTTTAAAAATTGGTGGAAAATCGATCCCTTGGAAAATTATTACGAAATTGTCACCGATTATTAATAAAAGCATCCCCTTTCCAACAATCGAATTCGTTTTAAAAAATCCCGTTTCGTTTTTCAGATATTAATTTTTGAAATGTTCAATATTTTTAACAAATTTAATTTTTTTGAGTTAACTTTAAAAATTCGCGAAAAATGGATTCCTTGGAAAATTACTACGAAATTCTCACCGATTATTAATAAAAGCATAATCTTTTCAACAATCAAATCCGTTTTGAAAAATCACGTTTAGTTTTTGAGATATTAATTTTTGAAATTTTCATTATTTTTAACAAATTTCATTTTTTTAAGTTAATTTTAAAAATTCGTGGAAAATCGATCCCTTGGAAAATTATTACGAAATTCTCACCGATTATTAATAAAAGCACCCTCTTGCCAACAATCGAATTCGTTTTGGAAAATCACGTTTCGTTTTTGAAATATTAATTTTTGAAATTTTTGATGTTTTTAACAAATTTCATTTTTTGAGTTAATTTTAAAAATTCGTGGAAAATCGATACTTTGGAAAATCATTACGAAATTCTCATCGATTATTAATAAAATCGCGCTCTTTCCAACAATTGAATTCGTTTTGGAAAAATATGTTTCGTTTTTGAGATATTAATTTATGAAATGTTCAATATTTTTAACAAATTTAATTTTTTTGAGTTATCTTTAAAAATTCGTAGAAAATCGATTCCTTGGAAAATTATTACGAAATTTGCACCGAATATTAATAAAAGCATCCCCTTTCCAACAATCGAACTCGTTTTGAAAAATCAAGTTTCCATTTTGAGACATTAATCTTTGAAGTTTTTCAATATCTTCAACAAATTTTATATTTTTGAGTTAACTTTAAAAATTCGTGGAAAATCGATCCGTTGGAAAATTATTACGAAATTGTCACCGATTATTAATAAAAGCATACTCTTTCCAACAATCAAATTCGTTTTGAAAAATCACGTTTCGTTTTTGAGATATAAATTTTTGAAATTATCAATATTTTTAACAAATTATATTTTGTTGAGTTAACTTTAAAAATTCGTGAAAAATCGATCCCTTGGAATGTTATTACAAAATTCTCACTGAATATTAATAAAAGCATCCCCTTTCCAACAATCGAATTCGTTTTGGAAAATCACGTTTCGTTTTTGAGATATCAAATTTTAAAATTTTTAATATTTTTAATAAATTTCATTTTTTTGAGTTAACTTTAAAAATTCGTGGAAAATCGATCCCTTGGAAAGTGATTACAAAATTCTCACCGAATATTAATAAAAGCATCCCCTCTCCAGCAATCGAATTCGTTTTGGAAAATCACTTTTCGTTTTTGAGATATTAATTTTTGAATTATTCAATATTTTTAACAAATTTCATTTTGTTGACTCAACTTTGAAAGTTCGTGGAAAATCGATCCCTTGGAAAATTATTACGAAATTCTCACCGAATATTAACAAAAGCATCCCCTTTCCAATAATCAAATTCGTTTTGGAAAAAGATGTTTCGTTTTTGAGATATTAATTTTTGAAATTATCAATATTTTTAACAAATTTTATTTTGTTCAGTTAACTTTAAAAATTCGTGAAAAATCGATTCCTTGGAAAATTATTACGAAATTGTCACCGATTATTAATAAAAGTCTATTTTTTCCAACAATCGGATTCGTTTTGAAATATCACGTTTCGTTTTTGAGATATTAATTTTTGAAATTTCCAATAATTTTAACAAATTTAATTTTTTGAGTTAACTAAAAATTCGTGGATAATCGATCCCTTGGAAAATTATTACGATTAATTTCATTTTTTATAATTAACTTTCTTAATCCTCAATTTTCTTTTCTAATCTTTGTTGAAAAAGTATTTTTTGTTCTTGAGATATTAATTTTTTAAATTAATAATTTTTGTATTAGGGCCCACCTGGCGCGAAAGGAGATAAAGGCCATTCAGGTCACCCCGGAATGGTTGGATTACCCGGATTAAAAGGCCCCCCAGGTCATCAAGGCGAAAAAGGCGAACGCGGCTCACTCGGCGCCCCAGGTCCTGAAGGACCTCCTGGTCGCCAAGGCGAACGCGGCATTCNAGTTTTGCAATATTTTCAACAAATTTTATATTTTTGAGTTAACTTTAAAAATTCGTGAAAAATCGATCCTTTGGAAAATTATTACGAAATTCTCATCGATTATTAATAAAAGTATCGCTTTTGCAATAATCGAATTCGTTTTGGAAAATTACATTTCGTTTTTGAGATATTAATTTTTGAAATTTTCAATATTATTAATAAATTTTATATTTTTGAGTTAACTTTAAAAATTCGTGGAAAATCGATTCCTTGGAAAATTATAACGAAATTCTCACCGATTATAAATAAAAGCATACTCTTTCCAACAATCGAATCCGTTTTCCAAAATCACGTTTCGTTTTTGAAATATTAATTTTTGAAATTTTCAATATTATTAATAAATTTCATTTTTTTGAGTTAACTTTAAAAATTTGTGGAAAATCGATTCCTTGGAAAATTATTACGAAATTCTCACCGATTATTAACAAAAGCATCCTCTTTCCAGCAATCGAATTCGTTTTGGAAAATCACGTTTCGTTTTTAAAATATTAATTTTTGAAATTGTCAATGTTTTTAACAAATTTCATTTTTTTAAGTTAACTTTAAAAATTCGTGGAAAATCGAACCCTTGGAAAATTATTACTAAATTGTCCTGATTATGAAAAAAACCATCGAATCCGTTTTGGAAAATCATGTTTCGTTTTTGAGATATTAATTTAACATTAATTTTTAACAAATTTTATTTTTTATAATTAACCTTCTTAATCCTCAATTTTCTTTTCTAATCTTTGATGAAAAAGTATTTTTTGTTCTTGAGATATTAATTTTTTAATTAATTTAAAAAATTTTCGTATTAGGGCCCACCCGGCGCGAAAGGAGATAAAGGCCATTCAGGTCACCCCGGAATGGTTGGATTACCCGGATTAAAAGGCCCCCCAGGTCATCAAGGCGAAAAAGGCGAACGCGGCTCACTCGGCGCCCCAGGTCCTGAAGGACCTCCTGGTCGCCAAGGCGAACGCGGCATTCAAGGAATTGTTGGCCCACCCGGTCCACCCGGAGAACCCGCCGAGAGAGGCGAACCCGGATTACCCGGATTTCCCGGGGAACCCGGCGCACCCGGAACTCCGGGGGAAAGAGGGGCCGTTGGCCCACAGGGAAATCAAGGATTCCCCGGTTTACAAGGATTGGTTGGAGCTCCGGGTGTTAAAGGAGAAAGAGGATTACTCGGAGCTAAAGGTCAACAAGGTAATCCAGGACCTGTAGGAAAACCCGGCGAGGTTGGACCACAAGGATTAATTGGGTTAACTGGTGCGAAGGGTAATCGGGGAGAAGCGGGAGCGAGGGGGGACGCGGGGTTGATGGGGCCACCTGGAAGACCTGGAGAACCTGGACAAACTGTAATTAATAAAATTAATTAATATTTTTAATACAAATTTTTGTTGATTTAGGGTCAACCTGGTAATTCAGGACCAGCAGGTCCACCAGGAATCCCTGGGATTAAAGGTGTAGCTGGAGATTTAGGTAGACCGGGCCCTCCAGGTCTTAGTGGGCAACCTGGACCCCCGGGAATTGAAGGGGCTAAAGGTGAAACGGGTTCTGATGGTCCACCTGGATTAACGGGGCCGAGTGGGCCGCAAGGTTCTGCGGGAGAGCGTGGATTAACGGGATTACCGGGGACTTCAGGACCACCGGGACCAACTGGATTAAGAGGACCACCTGTATTACAACAAATTCTTTTTTTTTTAAATTTTTTTAATTAATTAATTTTTAGGGGGAACAAGGAGCGCCTGGTCGACCAGGAAACGAAGGAGCCCCGGGTCCCATTGGGTTATTAGGCCCCCCCGGGCCACCGGGACCCGCTGGGGATCAAGGCCATGAAGGTCCCCCCGGCAAACCGGGTCCACCGGGAATCGCGGGACGACCAGGGGATAAAGGCCCGATTGGTTTAACGGGAAATCAAGGATCACCGGGGGCTCAAGGATTACCCGGCCCTCCAGGGTTACAAGGACCGATTGGGTTGAGTGGGGAGAGAGGTGCGAAAGGCGAAATGGGCCCTCAAGGTGTTGAAGGCCCTCAGGGGCAACGAGGAAAATCGGGACCTCCTGGTTTAGAGGGAGCTAAGGGTGTAGCGGGAGAAGAAGGTCCAAAAGGGGCGAAAGGACACCGGGGATTTAATGGGCTCCAAGGATTACCTGGTTCCCCCGGTCAACAAGGTGATAAAGGGATGCAAGGACTCCCCGGAATTCCGGGGAAAGATGGAGAACTCGGACCAAGAGGGCTTCCAGGGCGAGATGGTTCTCCGGGTCTCCAAGGAAACTTAGGCAACCCCGGCCCAAGAGGTCCATCCGGCGATAACGGCAAAATTGGCCCAATGGGTCCAGCGGGTCCTCCAGGTCCTCCAGGTCCCCCCGGCGATGGATTCGGATTCGACGCCGCTAATTTAGCCGCGTTATTACAACAGGGACAAATTAATAATCAAAAGGGACCCGACCCACTCGGAGATGAACCATTAAGAATCTTCGGGAGCACCATCACCGACGAAGAAAGACGAGAAATCGTTATTAAGGCTTACGAACAACTCAAAGCTTCTTTTGAAAAATTTAAAAAACCAAACGGCCAAAAAAATTACCCAGGAAAAAGTTGCAGAGACATTAACGTAGCTCACCCTAACTTAGGAGATGGGGAGTATTGGGTTGACCCAAATGAAGGTGATCCAAAAGATTCGATTTTAGTTCATTGCGATATGAAGAGACAAGCGACTTGCGTTATCCCAAAACCGGAGAAAACACCCGAAATTTCGTTAAATATGAAACAACATGAAGTTTGGTTGGGCGAAATCGAGCAAGGGATGAAGATAACGTATAAATCTGATAGTAATCAAATCGGGTTTTTGCAGTTATTATCGGGGCACGCGGAACAAAATATTACGTATCATTGCAAGAAATCTGTTGCTTATTACGATGTTAATAAACATACTTACCGGAAAGGTTTAAAACTTTTAGCGTGGAACGATGCTGAATTAACACCGAAAGGAAATCAAAGATTTAAGTATGACGTTATTGAAGATGAGTGCAGGGTGAGTTAACTTAAATTAAATTTGATTAAAAAACCGGCGAGACGATAGCAACAAACCGCCCAGCAACAAAATTTTTCCTTTATATTTCCACCTACTTCTAGGGCCCATGTCTTTGTTATATAGAAAGATAGCGAAAAACTAAGCACACTGTTGGAAAGCTTGGTCTTTTCTCTATCTTTTCGTCCGCCGATATGTTGATAATAAGAGCAAGAAAAAATAAGAAACGTCGCGCTGCATTCAATTTACCTCAAAATTACCAAATTTCACAGCCTTGTGCAGCCTTTACCAGATGGAAATTCAATAAATGATTTACATATTCGGAAAGAGCTGACCTTGGACTATCTTATTCCGAATCAATATCTGTCGGCGTCTGTCAAAAAAATGCCCCTGAAAAGGAGCCTACAGTTGGCAAGAAACTTTACTTTTGTATTTCCATCTATGTACTTTTCGGGCGGATATCTTTGTTATTTATAACGCTAGCGAAAAACTAAGCACACGGTTGGAAAGCTTGGTCTTTTCTCTATCTAAACCGAGTTTTCGTCCGCCGATATGTTGATAATGAGAGCAAGAAAAAATAAGAAACGACGCGCTGCCACGAATTTTTGCCGCGGCTAAACCACGCTTGGGTCAATAACTCTCTTATATGACCGGAAGAAAACTCTAGAACTATATTCATCTTATGGGAAATTTTCTGCTCTTTTCAACGGTATATAACACATCTCAATCATATGTTGCACAATCGTTTTTCAGCCCAGCAACAAACTTTCCCCTTGTATTTCCGTCTACTTTTCGGTCCAATATTTTCGTTATCTAGCAAAATAGCGAAAAATTTGCAGCATTTGAATTGTGTTTTGATGTTACCAACTTTGCATTTTAACTCAGTTCATCAATTTAAAAAACGCGTAAGCAAACGCGCAGGCGAAGTGCGTCGGACACCGTTGGAAAGAGCAGAAAATTTCCCATAAGATGAATACAGTTCTAGAGTTTTCTCCTCGTCATACAAGAGAGTTATTGACCTAAGCGTGGTTTAGCCGCGGCAAAAATTCGTGGTTTAGCTAGTTCATAGTCAGAAAAAAGGATTGTGCAAACGTGTGATCACGGTGTGCCACACATCGTTGGAAAGAGCAGGAAATTTCCCATAAGCTGAAAATAGTTGTAGAGTTTTCCCCCTGTCAAATAGGAAAGTTATTAGTGCAAGAAATATATGCGTGTTTTCATCGGTAGGGGCTTTTTTTTCAGGTGCGTGAAAACTCGGAATAAGATAGTCCAAAAATTCGTGGCAGCGCGTCGTTTCTTATTTTTTCTTGCTCTCATTATCAACGTATTGGCGGACGAAAACTCGATTTAAGATAGACAAACGACCAAGCTTTCCAACCGTGTGCTTAGTTTTTCGCTAGCATTATAAATAACAAAGATATCCGCCCGAAAAGTACATAGATGGAAATACAAAAGTAAAGTTTGTTGCCAACTGTAGGCTCCTTTTCAGAGGCGTTTTTTTGACAGACGCCGACAGATATTGACGGTCGAAAACTCGGAATAAGATAGTCCAAGGTCAGCTCTTTCCGAATATGTAAATCATTTATTGAATTTCCATCTGGTAAAGGCTGCACAAGGCCGTGAAGTTTGGTAATTTTGAGGTAAATTGAATGCAGCGTGACGTTTCTTATNCTGTAAAAGAAACGCACCTGAAAGACAACCTACAGGTAGCAGAACGCAATCACTTCTTACCCTAACTTTCTTATTTGATGAAGGAAAAATTGGAACAAAGTTTTACCCGAGAGAGAATCCTAACTTCATTTCATGTTGACAGATAATTTTTCATTCACTCTTAATTTATTTAAAAGCGTAACGGCCGGTGTTAATAAAACTAAAACTAACACTAGCATTATCACTACAACTAACACTAGACCTAGAACTAGCTTTCGGGTGCCATGTTGCAACCTTCTTCAGAAAACAAATTGGAAGCGAACCCGAAAGTTTCTAGTTCTAGTGTTAGTTCTAGTAATAGTGCTAGTGTTAGTTTTAGTTTTACGTTTAGAAATATGTTAAACTGTTCAAAACGGAAAGATTATTTCATGTTACACCTTATTAGGGTTTGACTATCGCGACATCTGTATGTAAAAGTAAGAATAAGTGGTGTGAAGTTGGTTACGTATAATAACCGGATGTAGTATAAGATCTAAGATGTCTGACAATGACGACGGAGAGTTTTTTATAAATATATTGTGGAGTTAAATTAAAACCTACTGCGTTTTACTACTAGCAAAGTTCAATAGNCAGCAGACGTGTACGTCCACCATATGTAATCGCACCCCATACCATAATGCTCGGTTGTCGGTGGATAGGGTGCTCTTGCACACACTGCTCGAATACACGATCACCACGGCTCCGATGAACTAAAATTCGCGCATCACCGGTGCTCAATTCGAATCTTGATTCGTCGGAAAACAAAATGTCCCTCTACTAGGCAACCTACTAATGCCTAGTGTCGACCCACTCGTGACGTATGCTGCGGTGCTCGGGTGTTACTGGAATCCGCTGGATCGCACGACGCGCGCGCAGTCACTATCAGATCACTATCTACCAAACGCCGTCGTACAGTTCGCGTAGTGAGTGCGCCTTCCCCTGCCGGTGGCCCAACAGCTCCAAGTTACCTTGAGGAGGACACACACGACGCTAAAGCGCTGAGCACAAGAGTGCGATCCTCGTGTGTTGGGGACGCGCAGGGCCGTCCCGCGATCGCCCATCCATTGCGCACAGAGTACGATAACAATGTGGTCCCTCACACCACACTAAAANTTGAATTTCCATCTGGTAACGGCTGCACAAGGCCATGAAGTTTGGTAATTTTGAGGTACATTGAATGCACCGCGATGTTTCTTATTTTTTCTTGCTCTTATTATCAACATATCGGCGGACCAAAACTCGGTTTAAGATAGAGAAACGACCAAGCTTTCCAACAGTGTGCTTAGTTTTTCGCTAGCGTTATAAATAACAAAGATATCCGGCCGAAAAGTACATAGATGGAAATACAAAAGTAAAGTTTGTTGCCAACTGTAGGCTTTTTTTCAGGGGCGTTTTTTTGACAGACGCCGACAGATATTGACGGTCGAAAACTCGGAATAAGATAGTCCGAGGTCAGTTCTTTCCGAATATGTAAATCATTTATTGAATTTCCATCTGGTAACGGCTGCACAAGGCCGTGAAGTTTGGTAATTTTGAGGTAAATTGAATGCAGCGTGACGTTTCTTATTTTTTCTTGCTCTTATTATCAACATATTGGCGGACGAAAACTCGGTTTAAGATAGAGATAAGACCAAGCTTTCCAACCGTGTGCTTAGTTTTTCGCTATCTTTCTAAATAACAAAGACATGGGCCCTAGAAGTAGGTGGAAATACAGGGTGTCTCAGCGAGACCGGTCATTAGACGTTTTTGGGGTTCTGGCGAAAATAAAAATTTGAGAATTCAGACTTAAGTGTTATCAATTACGATAATACACATTAAGAGTTTATTCTATACAGTAATTGTTTACAATTCTTTACATTATTCAAATATTACTTTCACTCTCTACCCTCTTCCTCCATTTCCACGCCCTCGGCTCCTCGGCCCAATCATCCCCTCACCCATCCCTTTGTCTCCTCACCCCCATCACCATTCTCATCCATCGTTTCCCCTCTCCCCCCTCTCCTAAGATCTGCCTTCGGTCCATCTCCTCCTCCCTCAACTCACTGCACCCATTCAGCATGTGTTCTAACGTTTCCCATTCCTCCCTGCACAGCCTACACCACCTCTCCTCATCGGCCATCCAGTATTTGTTGGCTCTCTCCTCGTTTCCACAACGGAACCTAGCCACCAACTTTTTCCCTTCCTCATCTCTTTCCAATAACAAGTATCTAGGCAGCCCCTCCGTAATTATGTCCCTGTATCTTTCGTTATACCTTCCCTCTTTTATTTGTGTCCTTCTTTCCTGTCTCTGCACATCTCGGTCCCTGTCTCTCAACTCCCTCCACATCTCCCTACCCACCCTTCGTCTACTATTTATCTCCGTTACCGAGTAGCCCGCTCGTCTATAATAGTTGTCTCTGTGTCCTTTCCCATATCTGACCTTTCCCTCTCTAATTTCCCTCCAACACTCCCCCAGGATCCCGCAGCTTGGCCTCCCTTCTATTCTTTCTTCATATTTCACTGCCCTCCTGCCCGCCTCCACCCTGACCTTATCCACCTTTACCTCTTCCCTCACTATATACCCCGGTGTTTCTCTCGCCACCCCAAGCACCCATCTCCAATATCTAGCCTGCACGTCCTCCAGCGGTCCCTGCTCCCTCCATCCCCATACCTCTGCCCCATACATCATCACACTGCTAACCAGACCTTCAAACATAATCTTCCTCGCTGCCACATTCCTTCCAAAGACTCTCTTCCCCCAACCCCATACTTGTCCCATCACCTTATTCGCCTTTTTTGCCATAGCTATCACATGCGACCCCTCCCTGTTATCCTCCCTAAACACATACCCCAAGTAAGTATACTCCCTAACCTCCTCGATCTCCTTTCCCTCCCATCTCCAGTTTTCTGTTCTTTTTCTCCCACCCTTACAAAACTTCATCATCCTTGTCTTCCCCACATTCACTTCCAGCCCCTTCCCCCTAAAATATCTTTCCAATGTCTTTATCATCTCCTTCATCTCCACCGCTTCTCTCGCCATGACCACGATGTCATCCGCGTATGCTAACATATGCACCTTTCTACCTCCCACCACCAATCCTCCCATCTGCCCCTTCCCCAATCTTTCCTCCAGGTCCGCCGTATACAGTGCAAACAGACTTGGGCTCAGCGGACATCCCTGCCTCAGTCCCTTCGTCGTCCAGAACACGTCGCTCAGCTTATCTCCCACTTTTATCCTAGCCATCGTCTCCATGTATATTTCCTTCAGTCTCGCAATTAGGTGTTCCGTTATCCCCCTCCTCCCCATCTCCTCCCACAACTTCCCCCTATCCACCTTATCAAAAGCCGCCTTCAAATCTATAAACAGGGCGTACAATTTCCCTCCCTTCTTATCCAGCTCTCTATCTGCCAAATGCTTCAACACATACACGTTGTCCCATCCGGCAAAATTCCCCCCAACTCCATCTCCTCCTCCAATCTTCCCAGCAGTATCTTCGTGTATACCTTGTATGCCGAGTCTAGTAGGTTAATTCCCCTGTAGCTCTCTACACTTCCCTTATTACCCTTTTTATATACTGGGCAAATTACCCCCACTTTCCATCCCTCCGGAATCCCACCCCCTCTCCATACGATATAGTAATAAAATATGGGGGGTGCCATTTAAAAAAATTAAGTTATGGTGCTTCCAAATTTCGAAAAGTTAACGTAACATAGTAAAGTGACCAAATGATCTAGACAGCCGTTCTCGGCACCAAACATACTCCATCATGTTGTTTAAATATGTTCTAAATTCTAAATTGATATCTCAAAAATTGAGTGTTCTATGATTTTTTGAACAAATGTCCGCTGGAGCAAATTTTTGTAGAAAAATTCGAATAACTCGAGAATTCCAAACAGACAAATCCAAATATGTAAAAATATACAGGATGTTCCATTTAAAAAAATAAAGTAGGTGGCGACTTCCAGTATAGCCGGAAGTGCTAGAAATCTGAAAATATTTTAGATGAAGAGAACGTAATTGATAATACTTAAGTCTGCATTCTCAAATTTTTTGTTTGCACAGAACCCCAGAAACGTCTAATGACCGGCCTCGCTGAGACACCCTGTATAAAGGAAAAAGTTTGTTGCTGGGTGGTTTGTTGCTATCGTCTCGCCGTTGATTAAAAATTAATTTGATTATTTGTGTTAGTTCCGGACGGATTCTTGGTCCCAAAGTGTTCTTTCCTACAAAACGGACAAATCGGTGCGTCTCCCGATAGTTGACGTCGCGATTAGGGATGTGGGTGAAGAGGGACAAGCGTTTTGGATTGAGATAGGCCCGGTTTGTTTCTATTAAAACGGATCGCCGCCTAAAAATAAAATAGTGTTCAATAATTGTATTATTAATTAATAAAGTATGTTAAGGTCTTTTACACATTCTCTTTGGATTATAAAAAATGGTGCTGTAATATTTATGATTAATTAAAAAAGATAAATATTTACATTTTGTTTTACAATTAATACTCTTTAATTAATTTAATTTAATTAAAAAAAAAATTTAAAACGAACACTTAAATAAAACAACACAAAGATATAAATAATCCTTAAAAATTAAAATCTTAATTAAACACATAAAATGGCAGGGAATTATGGCAGTTTTGAGAATAAATATTAATTAATTAATTTAAGTCACTTCAACCAATAATCCGTTTTTGGGATCGGGTAAACAATACCCGCAATTTCCTCCGCATCTCCCATAAACCCTCCGATTTCCGTCCATTTTATGAATGTGGTGTCGCGCGGAATTTCCATGGGAAAACCACGTCACCACGTCGGATATCCGAAACGAAGTCCCGGTTAAATCGACCGAAAAACTCCCCTCGATGCAATCCTCGATGTCGCTATAACAATCCCCCGCTCTCCCGTATTTCTGCCGATTCGAGGCACTCGTTGAAAAGGTAAAATCATCATCAACAATTCGCATCGTTGTCAGATTTAATCGAATTTTCCAAAAATCCGTGAATCCGACCATATCGCTTTTAACATCGTCGCAATCGCAATCGTTGGGATCAGCGTATCTCGTACAACTATAAGGGCGATTTAAGCGTTTATTAAAAAATTCCGCGTAATTTCTCGTGCTTGGACGCAACGTTATGTATTCTTCCGGTTCGGAAGTGTCCATTTTGTAGCAATAAACCAAAGCGGATTTTCCGTTAATCGTTATGCGGTAATCGGCGTTCGTTGAGTTGGGAATTTTTTCTTTGATGTCTTTGCAACTGGTGTAAACGCAAGGAATCCTCGGGCAACGACGTTTCCTAGCTGGTTTATACAATTTCGGGCAATATTTTAATTGGACGTGTTGACCACGGAGATTAACGCAGGCTAATTTGCGAGTTTGAAACGATTTTCTGTTACCACAAGATTCAGGACACTAAAAAAAAATTAAAAATGTATTATACAGGGACAAATCCAAATATGTAAAAATATACAGTGTGTCCGTAAAGTAACGGATATAGGCGATAAAATCATTATGGAAAAATGCCTGAAACGGGTCTAAAGATTTAATTTTTTTAAAAAACAAGAAATCTCAGAGACGATGAATATTTAATTTTTATTTTTGGTGCTACACGTGTTTCGATCGAACTATGCGATCTTCATCTGGCACGACTAGAGACAAAGTAAAAATAAGTTTCATTATGATATCAGCTAATTACAAAAAACAAATTTACCGTCAAGAGTTGTTGATTGAAGAACAAATCATCAGGTTGAAATATTTGACAGTAAAATTTGTACGGTTAAAACTAAAAACGTCAAAACAAATGGCTTAATATTAGAAATTAAAACAGGTTAATATTCTGGAAAAGACAACTTACTTAGCGTCAAACTAAATAAAACTATCACTATAACTATATTTTAAAAAAATACGCATTAGACGGAGTTAAAATTAAAAATTCTTTAGTTGGAATGGAACTGACGACAGGACAGGTGTATGATTGACAAGAAAGGACCTATTGTATAGTTCATTTTTTTGCTATAATACCTGTCAAATTGTTGTCAAGTTGGCAAAATTAAGGCATATATTAAGATTAGCTGTCCCTCTTAAAAATCGATGAATTTTTTTTTAATCGGTAGGAAATGACTCAAAAGATGTGTTAAAAATCACTTTAAAGTTGCGATTTGACGTTTCTTTTTGGAAGTTAAGAGCAATGTTAAAATTGCATTTTCGTATTAAATTCTAACCTGAAATTG